GCAGCGAGTTTAAGAGGATCAAAGCAGCTGTACGAGAGAAAAATGTCTCGTTACAGACAAAAGTTTACAATAAATTAAAGCCCGCATGTATATAAACGCAAACAGTTTACCGTTCAAGGTACGAAATTTTGTATATGCGTGTGTATTTATTATGAATACTTTCAACGCGATCCTTTTGATTTTCTCTCTTTTCTTCTTTCGTCTGTGGGCTCTCTCTCTCTCTCTCTCTCTCTCTCGTTTTGAAGAAGGCCCACAAGCGCGCACCCAACAAAAGATATGATAAAGCGTGTAAAAAAATAATGAAGACTAATTGGCGAACAACGACGAAAAAAGAAACGAAAAAAAAAATGAGTTTCACGCGTGCAAGAGCATTAAACAAAGGGCGCGGAGAAAGAGAGAGAGAGTAAAAGAGTGAGAGAGATGAAGAGGCGTGGCTGAAAATTTCGCGAGGGTTGGAACATGCGCGTGGATTTATAATTCATAAATCAAACGCGTTTCGCGCGGTGACATACTCAACGCAGCTCTCTCGGACGCAATACGATTTTTCGGGGCGCGAGTAAACGTATGCATGAAATTGAAAGCAGCTGCACATGTAGGCTCATGCGTATGTGTACGTGCGTCAGGGAGTGCGCTAAACTTCTCACACTAATCAAACTGTGTATCTACCTCATGAATCAATCCCCACATCTCTTATCGTAATCTCGGCAATTCAGGGTAATTTTTTAGTAGCGAATCCGCCGATCGAATAAGTCTTAATTATGCTTGTACAAACATCTCGCTAGACGAAATTAATTGATTCGGCTTCGTGTATAATTCATTTTTGTACCGGCGCGAATAAATAATTCAAATTCCGAGCCGTGTTAATTTTTTCTTCCATTACAAGCAGCGATACATCGATAATCGCGCGCGCCGCCACCGATTGATCGATCATTTTTAAACTCTCAACAGCAGCTTTCGTCTATACGTATGCAGTACAGGTACGGTACAGTATATATAATATAAAATGTATATGATATATAAAATATATTGCCTCAACAGCTCAGTCTATTTTTCTTCCTCGGTTAGCAGTTGCGGAAAACGACTTGCGCAAATAGATACGTACTTATACATACACACAGGTATACACAGATCGTACAGCACGTACATATCGCACACGACCAGTAGTAGTAGTAGTAGTAGTAGTGGATAGATCAAAGGATGATTGCAAAACTCGTTAATTTCTCTCTCCTGCATATGCTGCTGCTGTATACTATAGCAAATATACACCTGTGCACGCGCGCGCGCGAAATCGCACTTATTACAGCAGCTACTTTATCGAGTTGTAATTGTTTTTAAGCATCGAAAAATGTCTTTATACGTAAATATATTGATACCTATATATGTAAGCTGCGTGCGTATAATAAGCTTGCCAATAAGCTCGAGCCTATATTATAAGCATCTCTCGCGTAATATACACGAACATCTAACGTATATGTACAGCTAATGATACGCGCGAGTTCCGAGCGCTTGGCAGGCAGCAAATTTGCAGTCGACTTTTCTCTTATATCGGCGTGCAGGTAGCTGTAGCAGTAGTAGCTCGCGCTCTGGCATTTATATATTCGACGCGCGGCCAAGTGGACAGTGATGAATTTTCGGTCTACGTGCGCACGAACTTACATCGCACTCGCGCGCGCATACATATAAATAGATGGTTACTTTATGAGAGTGAATTCTCCCTCTCTTTCTCTTTCACATAGCCACGAGTTCTATATTTTACGAGTGTCATTACTGCGGGGAGGAAAAAAACAAAAAAAATTATAATGGAATTTTTTTTGGGAACAGCGAAAAAAATGCGCGATAAGAGCTGCATAAACTCGCGTAAAAAAGCTTTCATATAAACCGTGGTCATCTGCAGTTTTTTCCCTACGTACATTCAGTTTATGTTTATGCACTATACTCGACGGGAAATGGTCGTCGATAAGAGTCGAAAACTTCTTGAGTGTTTCTCGAAATTTGCCGTATGGCATTAAAGCCGTTCGCGGTAGCCGATAACAAGTGTCCTGGTACGCGGGAAAACATAATCGTGCAATTGGAAAAACAATTCGCACATAAGCAGACCTCGTGAAGTGCACACTGCACACGCCTGCGTCTACATATAATGCTCATTGCGCCCAGAGAAAGTCTTCGGTGTCCGCGCGCATGAATATGCATATGATTACAAAATCAGCTCGGGTGGGGGATCAAGAAAAAAACAACAACGACAACAAAAAACGACTGATACGTACGTATAATCAAACGACCGTGCCAAGAACCAACAGCGATTATTTTTGTATATAATCGTCCGATTGCAAATTATAATTTTATTGCCGTCATTACTTACTCCGCGGATGTATTTTTGCTCTTTGGTTTTTGGTCATTTACGCGGACGCACACATGCATATTTAGCCCGAAGCGCGCATGCATATTTGCGCGGTGCGTAAATATATTTATACTTATTTTTAAGTGAATTTTTCTTCTCTGGCGAGTCTATTCGATAAGTCGTTGCGATATCTTAATCGTTCAATAAAATTAAATTAAACTAGCTGATATTTTAGATTTCAAACGTTCGTTCCATAAATTGCGTTTATACGCATGGTGTACGAATGTACGTATGTTTGTGCGAGTTTGCAGCTGCGCTCCAATATGAATGAAAGAAAAGAAAACTATAATTGCACGTTCTCGTTTTTTTGTCGGTTTGAAATTTTTTAATCAAGAAATATCAACACCATCACGAAACCTCAACCGGGTACTCATCGCGCTAGCACGCAACAACGACGATGACGACGACGACGACGACGACGTCGAGGATGATGATGATGGCGAAGAAAGACACAAAATTAGATTTATAGTCTTTGTCCGCGAACAAAGTCATAAAATATAACAGCCCATAAGACACTTTCAATTATATTTGAAGCCTCCTTTTTCCACTCCCCCTTTATGCCATGAGAAAATATTTCAGTAACAAATTTTTTTTTTGTTTCGCCAATATTAATATTCAAAGAATTACCTTCTCCCCCGGCCATATTTTCCCTTTTCTTTTAATAACAATCTCGCGCTTACGTTGCATACACGATAATGTATGTAAACATCGAGTGTGTCACAGCAGCTCGCTCGCAAGAGGAGTGAGAGACAAGGTCAATTTTTATGTTTATATGCAAGAGAGTAATTCTCGTTACCGCTAGAAAGTTACGACTTTGACGAGAAAAACTCGCGGCGAGCATTGATTTATAAAAGTTGATCTTGTGCTCGGCGTGGCTTTTATCGATATCCAATTAATTAAGAGATTTGACCGACAGATAAGGGGCGCGAGCGGGCACAGCGCATAACTTATAAGCAAAAAATGCACTTGCAGCAGCAGCAGCAGCTCGATCCATGGCGCTAATTATTCAACAAAACTGACAGAGCCGCGCGTACGCTTCAATCGACTCTAGTGCGCGGGTTATACAGTGCGCACACTTGATAGATGAGAAAAAATCGGATATTTTTCCTACTCTTGGCGGTCGATCGGGCGCGAAATATTATGCTCGTTAAACGTTACACGCGCGAGTGCGTTAAATAAGGCCTCGGCACTGCCGCCACCGCCGCCGAGCTATCTGTATAAGTATACGCGCATTTACATTTTAGCGTGAAATTATTTCAAGTCTCGCTTATTAGACAACATTATAAAACACGTATCGCCCAGCGCACGAGGAATGTTCGAATGAGCTCGTTGCGAATCGAAAATATTAAAAAAAAATAGCAAATAAAAGTAAAAACCCAGCGTCTAAAGACCCGTAGGTAGTTTTCTCACGACTCGATAATATTCGCATCTATATAATATCAGCCTCGGCTCTCGCGCGCGTATTGTAATAAAACAGACGTGTGCACTGCAATATGCACACACTTATGAGTAGATACATAGCGCGGAGCTTGTTATATGCCCGCGCGTGCGTAAATAAGTATGATTTTATTTTCACACTACTATATAAGCATGCACACATACGCACGCGTCGAGCGAGGAAAATTCATAAATCGAAATTAATCTCCGTGCACCGGCCAGCGGCTATATACTGCGCGCGGCATATGCGGCACTATGCGCCGATGTTATATACATATCGCATCGGTGCTGAGATATAATGACGTGGGAGGAGGCGCGATACGATATGAGAATCGACACACGACTACTCACGGAGTCCTCGCCGCGGCGTATTATATACGCGTGACTCCTATTGTGTACTTGCCTGACACGGCTGCGCGATTGTACCTACCCATATAACCTATACCACATATATGCACCCGCGGCGAAGCAAGAGAGGATACGGAGGAAGGATGAGGAGGTGCGAGAGGAAGGAACTTGTTGAGCCTATTATGCGCGCGTCGCGATCTGTATGCATTGGTATATATGTACAGGGTATAGACGTTAGTGGCATTGTAATGTGTATTACCGCGTGCAAGCACGAGTGCGTTTACGCGCAGAGGAGATCGCAGCTGCGTTAGACGTGTGAAAGACCCAATGCATATTAGTTATTTACACATCAAGGGCTGGTAGCGGTGTGATTACGGTCGAGTTGTGTTTGCAGCTTTGGGGCGCTGTAGGCGCCGAGGCCGCGTGCGGCCGAGGCACTACGGCGTCCCCAACGCTGCAAACACGACGAGACCTAATCACACCGCTACACCAGCCATTGATGTCTAAAAAATTTTTCTGCATAAGCGCACGTTTTGAGGAGCTATAAAATAATGCCCAGTGCAAATGATACAGATTTGATGCGAAGAGGGTTTTGCGAGCCGAAGGCGAGCTGTGATTAGTTTTGAGTATTTTTTCGCGAGCCGAAGGCGAGCTGTGATTAATTTTAAGTATTTTTTCGCGAGCCGAAGGCGAGCTGTGAAAAGTTCTATAATAAAGAATTTATGCATAAATGCACTTATGGAGGAGTGATAAAATGTATATTTAAAATATTTTTATTATCTCAAAAATTTATTGATCATGTACATTTAATATACATTTACAAAACTATATAACTGTAATAAACTTTTTCATGAATAGAACTCTTAACTTATAGTTGCAACACATTATTATTAATTATTATTAAAATTAATATTACAGTTGTTAAAAATATAAATTGGTCGTATTTTCTCTCTTTTTATTAATTGATTCATCTGTGCATCATTCTCCTTATCATCTTGGTTATCATTGGCACATCTTTTATTAACATTTTTTGGTTCACTAGATTGATTTATCATCTCATTACGTTCAAAAAATTGTTTGTAGTCTTGTTGACTTAAATGACACTCATTTATATCTTCTTCACTTAATTCATATTGAGAATGAATAACATTTAGCTCCATGCTTGAAATACTTTTATCACATGTTTGAGAATTTTCCAAAATCTTTTCTTGATCAACTTTCAATTGTGAATCTAATACACAGGGAACCTGTTGACATGAGGTGCTCGGGGCACAATCATTTTGATTTTTTTCTGACAAAGTTTTGGCGGTGATAGCTGTGGATGGCTTTTTAAATTGAAACGCTGATGCTATCATTGTACTTGTCGTTTTCTTATTTAGCATGGACTCGTTGACATAACTTTGAGCTACTGATGCACTTTTCCAGTCTCCAAGTCTTTGTAATGTTAGTGTATCAGCACCTAAGTCTGCTGCTAATGTCGCAGAAGTCCTTCTGAGTGCATGCCCAGTGTATGTCTCTGGTTTATCTAATTTCAAATATGTAGCTATTTTCTTTGGAATGGATGAAAATGTTGCTTTTCCCACGTTCTGTAATAATTAATACAAGATTTTTAATTTTAGTTTACAAGTACAGAAATATATTCAGTAAAATAGATCTTACCTGACGGGTACATTTTGACTTTCTATATTGCAAGAAGAATCTTTCCATTTTATCTGGACGTAGCTTCATATACTTGTTGATAATTGGGTAGACCTCTGGGCTTGTCACAAAAGACTTGGTTCTTTTGGTTTTTGTTGAAAATATCTTGATGTGAAATAAATTACCCTCTGCTTTCATATCAGTTATTTTCAAGTTGAGTAACTCAATTGTGCGTAAACAGCCATGCAAACCAATTACCAATATAACCTGTGAATTAATATTAGTTATTACAATGAAGGTAGCAAACATATATGCATAGAAAATCATAATAGTTTAAAATTTGAAAATGTAATATGAATTTATGACAAAATAAAAGTTGCTCAATAAAAAGACAAAAGTATAACTAACCTTGTGCAGTAAGAACTCGTCATCATCAGCACAATTTAAAAATTTTGAAACTTCTTCTGGTGTGAACACCATTGCTTTCTTCACAACATGTCTTTTGCCTAGCCTTTTTAAAAAACATTGCAATTCCAAATACTTGCTTATATCATGATTTTTCTTACATATCAGCATAGATTTTAGTTTACTATAGGTTGCCCACAGTGAAGTTGCTGCATAGGTTTCAGATAACTTTTGGAAATAAGCTAGGAGATGGTTTTGGGTTATTTCTTCACTTAGCTTCATTTTTGTTTTCCACTCGAGAAACTTTTCGTACTGCTTTTCATACAGAGGTCTGGATTGTTCAGGTATGACATTAGATTTTGCTTTTTCTATTAGTCTTTGGATTTCCTGGGCAGCTTCACTTTGTATTTCGTCACTGTCACTGTCGCTTTCGTTGTCGCTTTCTTTTTGATTGCTGCTGGAAACAGCAAACATCGAATTAAAATTCATCTTGTTTTGGGTCGGTTCGTCTCAAACGATAGTTGGTACAGGTTATAGAACTTTGGCCGTAGCTGTTGTAGGCAGCGATCGCAACGTCTGAGCGCCGGCAGAGCGCGCTACGTGTCCTCGACCTATAATCATGATTACAGGTCGAGTAGGCATGATTTCAGTACGAGGCGCTGCTCGACCGTAACCGAGTATATTACCGACACAGCATGCCCAGCGCGTAATAAGCCTCAAACGGGCGCGTATACTGAAAAGACGTTTACAGTGTGTGTGATCAGGAGGGCTTGACACATCTCGTGAATGTCTCCTTATAGCTCTCTCGACGCTCGATTAAAAATCCGTATCACCTCGTTTTTCGTGCGAAGAATTTCGTCTGTATACCTTGTGCCGTGCGTTCCGTTTTTTTTGCACTCTACACTTCAACTTGGGCGCTGGCATTACATATACCTATGCGTATGATAAACGACTACGACTTGAATGGAATCGCGCGACACAAAGGCTACACACGCCGCGCAGCGAGTGAAACGTTGACCGATCGTTTCGCTATACCAATCGTTGGGAAGCTTCAAAGCTGCTGCTGCTGCTGCTGTGCGCGGCAGCATACATAGGATACGTGTGAATGCAAGCGGAACACAGAGAGAAAAAGAGCGAGCGAACGAGAGAGCATCTATCTATACCCGCAGACAACGACGACGACCGTAAGACGACCGAGACAGGTGTCGAAAGGAACTGTCTCGGTGCAAATAAATCGAAATTTCGCTCTTCTTCGTGATGCCTTTTGCCACCGCGCGACAGAGAAAGAGAGAAGAATTTCGCTGTGAGTTTGTGTGTGTGTGTGTGGACGCGCGCATGAGTGGACGCATCTTCGCGGTTCGAAGACGCGAGAATGTATCGAGGTTACGCGCAGCATGTGGATGTACGAAAACAAATCAACGCTATTTATCGTGTTCCAGTTTTTCTAATTGCCAAGAATTATTACAAGCCGCGGTGACACGTTTTTCGCGATACGTATACGGTGAACTCGTTTTTTTTTTTCACTTCATTTTTAATACACAAGGTTGATACAATATTAAGTTCTCGGACAGTGTATAATGGGATGGACATGATTCACGCTCTTACGCTCTTGTAATTGGAGTACTTCTGTGAAAAAATACTCGAAAAAGAAAAAACAACAATACGACGTAAAGGTTTGTTTTTAATCGGAAACGTCGAAGTCGCCTAATTAAAATTGCCAATCGCATTATACGATCAAAGTAGCCACACAGTCTAGAGAGCCTGGTAATGTTTGCTCGAAGAAGAGAGAGAGAGAAAAAAAATCCAAATTCGCAGCGCAAGCTTCTTAACGTCAATCACACGACGTAAGCGCGGCAGACCTCAATTGTGTGTGCCTGCGTGACCCGCGTGTTATACACGCTGGCTGGCTTGGTGAAGCTCGTTTTCCGGAAGCGACGATCTCTCTCTCTCTCTCTCTCGTCTAAGCGGGCTAAACATGTATATACATCGTCCGAGCATATACAGCATAAGAGAAAATAGCTTTTTGGCTTGTGCGCCGAGTAGTAGCAGCAGCAGTAGCATCAAGAGCGACCCGAGAAATGGGAGAGCTCTTTGCACTCGTGTTGCTCTAATCTCCGTATACGTGAAATTTTGCAGGTGCTTTGCAAATTCGTGTCTCGGGCTTAATACGGTTCTATCGTTACATAGTTATGCCGCATATTTTCTTCACTGTCATTCAAAATCGTTTTCGAATCAAAATCACCGGATTATACATATTTTTTCACTCGTCACGTTACGTACGTACGAACCCGAATAAGCGTAAAATTTATGTACATATCAAGAAGCATGTGTATAGCATCGTCGTAATCGCTACCGTTTTTTTTTCATTCATCGCGATCAATGGTCGGTTGTTTTTTTTTTTATTTCTTATATAGGCAGAAGGTGCTTGAACTTTCGAAGTGTATACCGATTAAATCTCTGTGATAATATGTATTTCTGCGCAGATCGCGCCGGCCACGGCGCGCCATCGGAATGCACATACGTATTATATCTGCAGAAGTATATCGCACACGCGTAAGCATACGTCCCTTTTTTCTTCTCGTTTCTCGAATTACAATCTCTCTCTCACTCTCGCCTACCTACTGCATTTTGCACGCTGAGCGAGGCAAAAGTATCAAATTGTATAAGTAATACGCGCGCTTTTAATCTGCCAAAGATGCAGCTGCACGCACATTGTACTCGCGTCGCTACTATTATTATAGAGTATTGCACGCTATCATCTTTGCGTATCTCGGACACTGATGACTCGGCGGAAAAATTGACGTACAGCCCAGTCGCGCGGTATAACATGCACAAATAGCACATTGTTGATTATTACAATGTGTTCTAATCCTATTGTCAATTAATAGAACGTACGGTATAACGCATGCACCGAGAGATTTAAAGTCGAAGCTCGCGAGCCATCGTAAATCCTATCCCTAATAATGCGAAAACTCATCGTCGTTATTATTATTATACAGCTCGACTATATAAGTGCGTAGTACCGCCGAGTCAAATGTCTCGGCTGACTCTCTGCGCTGCAGCTGCGCGCAGTTTTTGACTTTGATTGCACACGCGTCTCGCAAAGCAAGCGCGAAAGCTCGAAGCGATCTAAACACGCGTATATAATATTCGTTTCGTCGAAGTATATAATATAATTAATAATCGTATACTTTTGCGATAATTAGTCATGAGAAAATTACGATTTTCATTGAATATATCTCGTCTACTCCGCATGTGTGTGTGTGTGTATACATGGTATACGTTATATTACCATATTCATATGCGCGATTGGAATTCGCGCGAGATGAGTTAATATCGTGTAACGCTGCAGGGCCTTCGCGTGTACATATGAATATCGTATATGTGTATACGCGCGCCGTTAATAACTCGAGTATTTGACGCGCGCGATGAGCTTTTGAAAGGTACGTTAAACGTCCGAGTGCACGCACATAGAAATGCATACAAGAAGAACGGAGAGAAGAAACGATTACGTTCAGTACCGAAAGTTTCGAGCTCGTCGTCTAATTTCCCTCTCGCTTTTTTTCTTTTCATCTTTTGTGAATAATAAACCCATGGCGATTATCTTATACACGTCAGTGTCATGATACAGGCAGTGCGTACGCGCATAGACGATATAGGTGTATCATAATATGGACGCGAGCGCAGGATTTAATCTAGCCTCGGTGTTTGCTTTTCGCACGACACGAGCTCGTATACGTATTATTATATAGCTTCGTGCGGTCTATTATTCCTCTTATATATACTCGTATGTAGCTGGTGTGTAACATAGGTAGCATAGTCGCTCGCTCGCGAGCCAAGTTCTCCGCAACGTGTCATTTTAAAAACAGAAGAAGCTAGGCTAATGTTTACGCAAATAATTTTGCTATGCTGGATGCGTGCGCGCGCGAGTAACACATATTATATACATAGCCGTGCAATAAACAAGTAAAATATGCGCATTCCTTTTTTTTTCTTTCTCTCTCGCTCTTTGAAGATTCATTCTCGCTTTTCAAGCGAGCAACATCTGGAACTGTGTGCGCACGCGTATTGTACAATATTGTTGTTGCACTCGTCGTTGCGCACTTGGGTGTGGTGGCAAAATGTACGCGCGTTATATATACGCACGCAATCGTATATTTTTCGCATATAAACTTGCCAGATTTATCGAATCTTTATCGTTTTTCTTTTTTCGTCGTCGTCGTCGTCGTTGCCGCGATTGCACCCTATACAATAATAATCTATATACGAGACGCGTTTGAATTTATTGCGAGTCGCGATCATTCGAAGCTTTATACGCGCGCGAGCGGCGGTCGCTCTCGAGCTTTTTGATTTTGTAAATTATTATCATATCGCTGCGCCGCGCGGCCGTCGTTGTTACTGTTGTTGTATATAGATGCTCGAGCGAGCTTCATTTGACGATGATAATTTAACGTTATTTATTAAGCTTCGCGCGCGCGCGAGCGAACCAGCGAGCGAGCGAGAGTTAGAGAATGTTTGTTATGTACGTTCTATGTTATAGGGTATGATATACGCAGTTGTAAGTAACGCATGCCGAGCGAGAGACGCACGCAACAACGTGTATAAAGTATAATCATTGGTCACGCGCAAAATTTGCCAATTCGTATGTAAGAAACCAATGAAATAGTTCATTTACATCGATCGTTCATTCGAAGTAAATCCTTATGCTTGATACAGTAAAGAAAGAATAAATAGAGAACAGCAATTTTTTTGCTGCTTGCGACTTTGCGATGCTCCATCTGTTGACGAAATGCAGAAGCTCACAATCGGAATATATATTCCGATGTATATCACTCGAGCGTTAATTCGGACCAAGCTTTACGCTCGTGTTCTATTATATATAGGCAAAGCACATCGGAAGTATACCATTGACGCGTAGGCGCGAAATCTCTATGCCAAGGTGCGCGCGTAATAACAATCGTACTACTGTATATAAAGTAGCAATCAGCTTTTGCGCGCGCTCGAGCTCTCGATGTGCAGAGCGAGCTTTGTGTTATCGACTCGAAAGTACGTATGTACGCATGTTTTAATCGATCGCGCCTATATAAGACGCACTGGACGCATGCGAGCATGTGTATACGTACGTAAGCGATACGGCTCGAAGGTGTGGTTGCGGCTGCTGCTGAGCCAGCGTGTGCCAGATGCGCCGAGAGGATCTATACACCTATACATATAAGCGTTTTTCGAGGACGAGCAGAGGAGAGATTTTAATATTTACATTTTCTGTCAAGGATTCCAAGAAGTAAGTATCTCTCTCTCTCTCTTGTTAAGAGATAAAAATGACATTTTTTGCAGCGGGGGCGAGCGAGAGTAAGTAGGATCGATTACAGCTCACTAAAAAGTTATATACGAGGCCGTACCGAATCTTAACGGTATTATCTCTTCTTATGCGAGGCGCAGCTCATCGAGTCGCGGCGGCGGCGGCGCACAAGCCCCGCAAGGTATCTCTTCATTGGCGCGCATCAATCGCGACGGTACACGACGCGTGTGCTTCTCGAGTGATGGACTAAAATCAATCCTCCCGCAATTGGCTCGAGACACGCCAATATTAGTAGTCGCCGTTGTCGTCGTTGTTCTTGTTGTACGACGACGACGAATTTTCAATATGAGAAATTATCAAACGCTCGGAGCAGCCCGTGCGCGATGGCATAGTATGAACACACACATTATTATAAGCAGCCTCGCGTACTATACGGAATTTCTCCTCTGATTCATGGCCGAGCGTAACGAATCGATCCATCATTTCAATCATCGTCAGGCAGCGGCAATTCAAGCAGCAGCAGCAGCAGCCACAGCGTGGAGAACACACAGCGCGAAATTAATCTTACTAATTACATCGATGAGTCTCTCTCTCTCTCTCTCTCTCTCCCGCTCGGCAAACAAATAATACGCGCGCAGCGCAGCGCCGCGCAACAGCCGCACGTCGGTACATCTCTCTCGTCCGCGCATATAACGCACTCACATACACGCACACACACGCAAATGAGCACTCAAAGTCGATCGATAAATAATCATCAATCGGAATGAAAATTTAGATCACGTCGGTCTCTCTGTCTCTTGTGCGCTATGCAGTGAATTTGCATACTATATAGCTAGCTGCTAGGTCGGCTGCTACTGCCGCGCGCGAGATCGGTCGTTTGCCGAGACCTTTCATACGAGCCGCGAGCCTCTACACACAACTGCCACTGCTGCACCGAATGCGAGATCTGTTTTCCTCTATATGCTGCTGTTACTGCAGCAGCGCGATGATTTATGGCAGCTCATCTAGGCCGCTTGACATTTGAACTAATTTCCAATAGAAGCCCATTTGATTTACGTAAGCATCAAAGTGTCTCCTCCACTTCGTCGTCGTCCTCCTCCTCGGGTTGCTGCGATGCTCGCGAAAATGAGCAAGAGCTTCAAAAGCGAGTGTATCCGATATTACATTACTTTGGGGAAAAGGCATATTATTAAAAGCTACCAACGTCGTTGCGCCGACGACGACGATGACGACTACGGCGAGAGGCACTCGAATGTATTGTATATGTGAGTTTGTACGAGCGCCGGGCCTCTTGGGAAAATTAATTAGACGAAAAGAGAATTGTTGTGTATTATACATACAAATCGTTTAATATCAAAAAGGCAGGCACCTACTCACATACACACAGACATATAGGCACACAAAGGGATATTGCCACACGATCGTAATCTCTCGTAATCTTTTTTTCATTCTCATTTTCCTTTGCACTGTGCACTCGAGATACCGCGAGAGAGATCAGAGACACAATCGGCATACCAGCATATACAGTGTCACGCGCCCTCGCGAAGCCATTAAAGCTCCGATTGATAAGGCCTACATAATAATATGCCACGCGCGTAAGGTGACAAATATAAATTATCAGCTCGCGAGACATTACATAGATGTTGCTGCCGTTGCCGTTGCAGCGCGGCTCGACTTCCGCAGCACATTATTAGATCAGGCGATATTTTGCTTCTAGGATAAAAATCGGACATATTGTATGCAAATGTGGCGTGGCACGCGGAGATGTATAGTCGTAATATGCATGGTCGCGCGCGTATAAAAATATCGTGCAAATTGCTCAATAATGAAAATCTCTCGGGTCGAATTAGCCTCGCGCGCGTAAGTATGTGCGCAGTATGGAGCAGTGACGTTTTGCGAGGAAGTCGTCGCAGAAGTGGTATATGGCAATTAGGCTAATTGTAACTCGCCAACAGCCGAAAAAGACAGGTCGAGTCGAGTATATATAGCTATATCCATCTAGTTCTACTATCTGCAGTGCAGTGCAGTGCAGCAGCAGCATAAGTCTGCTTCATAAACGGAGAAAGAGAGAAAGAGAATAAGAGAGCCCTGTACGATATGCTGAAAATAAACGGCCTGAAGAGATTCGCACTTCTCTAGGCGACGATATTCTACTACTCGGGCACTAGAATATGTCGCTAGTTGTTTTGCTCTCTTTCATGCGATCGCATATTACACACGAGCTTGTAAATTGTAGGAAAAAAATGGATGCTTTTTTCGAGCTTGCGATTCTCGTCGAGTTAATAAATTACGATATACTCCTGAGGTGCCTAACTATAGGCTTAGAGAGCTCGACTCTTCTAAAATTAAAACCTCGACGATCCGACTTATTATCAGGCGGACGATAAAATCCCGCGTGGCGCGCAGCAGTAGTGCCGATTCTGTGTATTTTCAAAGCCCAGCCGTATATAATGCGTAAACACCAAAATAAATTGGCAATTCCATATCCGTGCGCCGCCGCCGCCGCCGTCGCACCGCCGCCGATTTGCGGTGCGTATATTTATAAATTGATCGACTTCGCGCTTATTAAAGCCTAGATATGTATTTTATAAATATAAATAAAAGAAGAAAAAAAATGATCAGACCTCTAAAAACGAGCTGCTGCTGCTGCTGCTGCCGGTTGGTGCGGAAGAGAAAGGAAATCCCGCGCGTTACACGGACAGTTACAAAGCGCTAAGCGCGCGAATCTTTTTTTTTTCATTTATAATACGCCAAATGATCTCATCAGTCGGGAATAACTCGTGTCCGAGCGCACTAATAATTCAAATCCGATGTTGTTGCGAGCTGCGTGCGGTAGCGGCTGGAATCGGATTTGCAAATGCGCGCAGCGTTGAAAGCCGAGAGCTAGGCTTCTACATAGAAAGTATACTCCGTACTGGTATTGCAAATAAATGACGAGAAAACTTGCGTACACACCGTGTGCCAACGATATATTTTGTATAAATCCTATATGCATTACAACGTAGGCCGTTTTCTTTTCCGTAGAAGTTGAAAAATTGTACCCTTACCTTTTAGCGCTGCGTTGAGTCTGTCGAGATTGGCCAGTGTCATCGGCACGGGTCCGAAGTGCATCCACGTCGTCTTCACGTCGGCGGTGTCCTTATCGTCGCCCACGAGTCTGCCCATGAATATACCGGTATAGCTGTTTCTGATATACTTGGCGCAGGTGCCGTTTATCGCCAGGCGCACACTTCCGCTCGACTCGGACGCGTCCAAGCCTTTGAGGGCTCGCTTCACTTTGACCTCGATCCAGCCCGGCTGAAGAGTTTTGATTTTTCCGGTGAAAATGTAGGTGGATTGCTGGACGCGCTCCGCAAGGTAGGTCTGATTTTTCAGATGCGCCGTGAGATTCGCGCGGCACTCCAGTAGCTCGTCGGTCGATGCCAGACAGGGCTGATGAGTGGCGACCGCGACCAGCAGCATCAGCGCCAGCCACGCCGGAACCGCAACGTTATTCCGTGACATTTTGTTTCGTGTACTTTTTTTTTCAATTTTTCGATATGCTTTTTCCAGCTAGCTTGCGGTACGTATCATGCATCAACTGACGAAAATTTCAAAGTAAATAATCATGATCGTCGACGGCCGACACTGACGATACGATGCAAACGTCGAGAATCGGCGGCCGCTGCGCTGCCCGCGATACGCAGCAACAGGTTGGCGTCGTCGTCGTCGCAGTCGTCGCGCTTCGAGCGGCAGCGCCCACGCCGATTTCCAATCTGCCTTTATTCCCACCGAAGTCGATCGCGGTGATTCTGCCTCTCTCTCGAACTATCATCGACGTTCTATTTTTTCAATTTCACTCGATTACACTTTTTAGTCTATATCTTCAAAGAATAGACACAACACAAACACACTGTACACTCGTCACTAGTGCTATTCTTTTTTTTCTACAAATTTTCTTCGAAATTCACGGCACTCAAATCACCACTTCATCTTGCACTTTTCACTGTATCCTCCTGTCACTGTCACTCGTCACTTTTTTTCTCTTGTACTCACTCGGCACCACCTGCAATTTTTAATTGCTGATTAATATTTTTTCGATTTTCGGCAAAACAATTGACTGTATATAAATAAACACGCCGGGCGCACGGGCGCAAAGAACCTAGTAGAGAAGCAGACTCGCGCGCGTATGTAAGTTGACTGGCAGAATCGGAGTCGCGTGGCCGGTCCGACGCCAATATACGCATACGGGATAAGTGTGTGTATGTGTGTGTAGGCTTTGCCTCGCTCGTTCTCTCTCTCTCGCTCGCGAGTTCGCAGCACACGACGACGACGACGACGACGCGCCTCGAGAAGAGCGAGAAAATATATACGCGGCGCGCGAAGGAGAGAAAAGGCAAAAGCTGTGACTGCTGCTGCTGTTGCATGCAATCTCTGTATGCATGTGTATACGCAGATAGTTGGAAATAGGAGGAGGAGAAGGAGGTGGTGGTGCAGTAGTAGTGGCTATACGGCACGCGCTCCTGGATGCTGAGCCGCATATAATATAAGCGTGTGTGGGAGAGACTCACGGCAAAGGTGCACACATACACTCGCATGGATATACTCACACTTTTTCGAGGCAAGATTCGATGCAGAGAGTAGGAGACGACGACGATACGCCGCCACTGCGCTTTTAAATCCGTGCATATGTATACAATATAAGACGTGGGCCGATGCAGCGCACGCGACCATCGCAGAGATGAGTAATACAATGAGGATTTGCACCTTCGCGTGGATATATATGTATTGTGTATAATACGATACATGCATGGGAGTACGTGAAAGGACGTGTACCGTACCGTATTCGCATGCACATACGTATGTGTATGTGCAAAAGGAAGGAAGTCGTTGGGCTTTACACACATATCGTCGACGTCACGATTGTAATATACGTTGTTTTTTGGTCCGATCGATGTTGATCTGGTGCTATGTTTAAATTTAAAAAACAAATGGCAAGCGGCATTTGCGAATTAGACGTTCTGAAATGTAACGTTTTTTCTGACCCGGGATTGTGTGTAAATATCGTTAGGAAATGAAAAAAATAGGGTTATGGGCTATCGATTGAGGGTTGTTTATGACAAAATATTTCTGATGAAAGTTGTACGTTGTACATAAAAAACAAAAAACTCAATTGTTTTTTAATCAACAGTCATCGAAATATAACGATAACAAACACTGATCGTCACTTACAGGTCGCACGGGTTAACGACTCCTGCTGCTAATGCAATACAGCAACAACTAAATGATATCAGCTACTCACATAATTATAAATCGTTTATTTATGAAAGAGTTCACTGAACACAGTAGTGTAACTGGATGCTGCTACTGTTCTCGCTACTAACGTTTCGCAAGGGCTTCCAATCAAATTCGCAACGGCAGCAGCGCTGACCCGCGCCGCGGCAGCCACGTTCAGAGGTTATGTGTTCGATGCGCTGCGCCTGCAGTTCTAACAGTCGAACTGTCGAAGCGGCGACCGTTGTGACTCGCGACACCTCACGATGTCGCATTAGAATTCACAATTTTTATTTTACAGTGTTCACAGTTCGAGTATCAAAATCAGCCTTTCGTAACGACATTTTAGTTGGCGAAACTATAATTCTATTTTATTATACCAAAGAAGAGTTTTAAAATGTACACTATTTTTATTCGTGTAGGCCTTTCCAAGATTTTTAGTTTGAAGTTGTTCAAATCAATATCAGTTGATTTGTTTATTCATGAAGGCAAAAAAATGTCAAAAATGGCAGTTACTATGTTCGTTTATAATTTTTTTATTAAAAACGTAACGCAATTACGAAATATTCTGGAGATGAAATATTTCGACATGACGCAATTCAGAGCAATTTTCAACATTGGACTAAGTGCGATTCACTTAAATACACATAAAGCATCACCACGATTTCAACCACATTACTCTCTAATCATGTTACCTCGTCTCTAATCATTTGAATTTTTACGACTTTGTTTGGGCCACGAGCAATAGAAAGACAGCGGAGCAAAGGCCGCGGAGAATTTTCGAAGAGCTGTAACGATCGCGCGCGCAGCTTTTAACAAAAAAACGTATAATATGGTCGAAACTCGTATTGTGTCATCTAAATTATCCTCATTATCGACGACAAATGGATATTCTATCGACCAAATAGGTAGTGGCATTAAATCGAGAGCTAAAACGACTTTTACACTATTTTGGCGCTCGTTACGATTCAAATTTTATCCATTATTTCTTTTTTCTTTCTTTTTTATTTCTTTTTTTTTAAGTGCGGCTGTATTTATATCGTGTATAGAGGTTAAAACGCAACAGAAGCTACGCTCTTAATGCGTTCGATTATACTTACGTTAAAGACGTCCGAGACTCTTCGCAGAGCATAAATATCAAAGAGAGACACCGAGATATAGAAGGAAAAAAAAACCTGAAAACCAGAAAATTTTTTCCCTCGCCGACGCGTAATATAGTCGGAGGATTATCGCCTCTAATGCGTCACCGTTTGCCGCGCGCGCGAAAACCAATCGAACGAATTCATACTTCTATATAAATCGAATATATTATTACAGCAGCTCTAATGATATTTTCGAAAAATAAACACTTCCACGGCGTCGAGTTATTTTTCTCTCATTACCGCGCGCAGTGCAGTCGTTTAATGGCGCCAAAAAGTACACAGTCCCTCCCGGCTGCACTAATAAGTCTATTTACTCTTGGCAACCGTACGTATGTATAATATAATATAATCTCCATCGAGGCACTTTGGCAAAATTACGCGCATAGGCATATTCATTTTGCAAAAGAAGAAAAATAAAAAAACATAAAAAAATCGCCTCGAAGCTCGTTCGCTCGTACTGCACAGACCAATGATATATACTGCTGCTGCTCGTTAAAGCCCGTGTGCGTATACGCACACACATGTATGTACGCGCGTGCCTGGCCTGTGTAGGAGGAGGTCGAGAATCGCGAATGTGGTATATAAGACGAAACCGGAACGCGTATAAAACTGGTGAAAAAGTGCCACACGAGAGAGAGAGAGAGATCTGCCAAGGGCAGTTACTGGATTTAATAAGCTCCGAGACCGAGTGTGTAGTATGTAAGAAAAAAAATGGCGATGTACACGCTGGATCGTATTTTTTTCTCTCTTTCTCTCAACGCACAAGAATGAGATTCGACACGCAGAAACTTTTCCAGCGATAGACTGAGCGAATGATTTCTTCATTAAATCTAACGAGGCGAAAGGGTCGAAATTAAAGGAAAGATTTTCCTCCTCGTTGACGATTAATCTGTCGCGCGAAATACGCATGACACACACGATACGAGGATATATAACTTGCAGCAGCAGCAGCAGCAGCAGCAGCAGCAGTGCAGGGCAATAAAAGTGAGAGTATAACACATGTATAATGTATGTATACGCGGCAATAGGAAAGGGATATGAACATTTATATACACGAAGAGGGAGAAAGAGAAATTAATGACACAACGAGCTGAGTGATTTTAATTAATATACGATCTTGTAGTTACAATTGTATAGCCAAACGCGCGCAGAAACAAGATCGGAGTTGGTGAAAAAAGATTTATGCTCGTCATATTCCGCGGAGATGATGCTTTTGATAATGAGCCCACCGTACGCAGTACGGGCGCGCGCGCGGGTTTATTGGCGGCGCAGATAAAGTGTCGCTTCGTTTTTCATATATGAATACGCGCGCGTGTAGTACACGACGACTCTCGTCCGCGAGGCTCAGCTCGGCGTATATTTATTATTACCCGTAAATCATTTACTGCGTGATTTTTATTCCGTGTAATTGTCGTTGTATCGTTAAGAGAAAAATTTCACGAATACACGCTCTTACACGTGTTTTTAGTTGTTTTTTTGCTGTTGTTGTTGTTGTCGTTGTTCTTAGATTGCTCCTCGGGGTTTAAGAAATGAAGAGATTTAAGCGCTCGTTTTGTAACGAGTAAGAGTATAGAGGTAATATTGTGAGTCCTCGGGTTAATTAAAGCCGCGCGCGCGACTTTGGCTTCGAAAAATCGCCGCGTGTATAAGGTGGTAACTCGAGACAGTAGCTTACGAGTGTGTAGTGCATTATATACAGACCTCGATACGCGAACGAAGCACGCGAACCCCTTCGAGCGATAATCGAACGATAACAGATATAAGAATTGAGAAAAATAGATTTATAATTTACGAAAAGTTCGCACCCGCGTGCATTAGCGTGCGCGGCATTTTTACTCGAGCTTGCAATACGTGAAATTTACGAATTAACGTGCACTAGCGGGGGAAAAAGAAAACGAGCCGAGTTGACGCCTTTATATTCTCGCTCGGTTATCTCGGCGCGATATGTTTATATTCGTCGCTCGTTTTACACTATAACTTTTGCGCAATCATCTCGTTTGTGTGTGTTTATATTGGGTTCATATAATGCAGCTGCGCTTCCATCGCGGATACACACACACACATACACACACAAACGTACGGTTTCATGTTGCAATTTAGAAAAAAAGGATTTCGCGTGATCCATAAAATCTTTAGCTTCGCGCGCGCTCGGAACGCTCAATAAAGCGTGTATGGTACTCATATCGCGGGGATATTATAAATGTGCGTTCGCCAGTACATTTGGTAATATTACCTTCGATTATGGGAATGGGTAGTATAAATGCCTGTACGTACGATATTACAAGTGTCTCAGCTGCAGCGTATACAAGCGGGTGAAAAAGGCCTGTTATTATATCGCAGTATGCGCGAATGTTCGAGTGCTCGGTGAAGAAAAAATAAAAAGATCGCCGCATGCATATTTCAGCGATTCGATACTGTTATATTATACGATTATACAAAAGTGCGCGCCGCGGCGGCCGCGTCGGTTAAGACGTTTGCTGCGCCGCGGCTACAAAAGTAAAGCGCCGCGATTCTAAAATAGAGACTACATTCACCCGAGGTAATTAGCGTACAGGCAAAAGTACGGATCGTTTTACATGATAAGTTTTCTTCCCCACCCACGCGTTCGCGCATCAAAAGCTCTATAACGACGACGATGATCTTTTCACCC